TTTATCCGATCTCAAATGATCGACAGGACCGGATGGATGCTGTCCAGAGGCAACACCATCGCCATGAGATACTCTCTCGTTCGACGTCAATTCCGCGACCCAGACTCCAAAGATGTTGCAGAGCCAGAGCGATCCGTCCTCTCCTACCCATCCCTGCATCGTCGTCTCATCCCACTCTTGGCCAAGAGCTACGCGTACATCATTGCTGGAAGACGCATGAGGACCTTGTACGAAGACATGGCAGCTCAATTGGACTCTGGAGATACCTCTTTGCTCGCAGATGTGCACGTTGCCAGCTCCTCGCTCAAGGCGTACTGCACCAAGCAAGCTCTGGATGGCATCGAAGAGTGCAGACAGGCGCTCGGAGGACATGGTTTCTCCGCCTACGCAGGTTACACCTCCATCTTCCCCGACAATGCACCAACGGTCACTTACGAGGGAGACAATTACGTGCTGGCTCAGCAAGTAGGCAGAGCCATGCTCAAGACCGCCGGCGAGTTGGACAAGAACGCAGGCGCAAAGGTCTCCAACACCACTTCTTTCCTCGGTGCGCTCAAGAACAAGGACGCTGTCAAATTCTCACCACCCACTTCGCCTGACGAGTGGCTCAAGCCCGAAGTGTACACGGCTGTGCTCGGTCTTCGGGCGGCTAGACGCGTGGCCGATCTGCGTGCAGACCTGTCCACAGGCCGACGATTTGTGGACCTGTCGTGGGAATGCGTCGAGGTGGCACGCTCTCACGCAGAAGTTGTGGTCAACGCTTGGTTTACCGAAGGTGTATCTGACGATTCCGAAGGGTTCGGATCGGATGCCACCTATTGGCTCAACAAGCTGGTGGTGCTTCACGCCTTGACTTGCGTGGCTAGAGACATTACCCCGCTCGTCCTGCCTGCTGCTCAAGGTAGGGGTTTGGCAGCCTACCAATCCGGATCTGCCATTCTTACTCCCGAAAGCGTCTTGCACCTCGAAACTGCCATTCGCGATCTGCACACGGAGCTCTTGCCGCAAGTCATCGCTCTGACCGACG